CTCGACTCTGCTTTTCTTTTGTTTAACCATAGCCTACAGTTATTGTGCTGAACTAACAGATGAGGGAAAGGATACCAACCAGCAGAGAGAGGAAGGAAAACAAGGTCACTAAAATCTCCTTGTTTTGCCTCTAAGTCCATGTCCAGATGAAGGCAGAACCTGGCGCTGGTTTGGGTTTCTCTATAAGTATAGTTACATGGTGGAGCTCTGCTCAGCTGAGGAGTGGATGTGATGGAGTTCAGGACACGCTACCCCAAAATATGGCCCCTTGGCATCTTGAATATTTTGTCCTGAAGGAGTTTGGGAAAATGACAGAAGCAGGAAGGTCACCTAGACCTTCTGCTCAACCTTCTCCCCTGAAACAGGTCGTGAAACCCTCACAGGAGAGGTGCCTCCTTAAATCTGGAGGAAAGGAATACCCTTATTTCTGAAGACAAAGGGACACTGAGAAGAATCTGAACAAAAGGTCTTTGCTAAATTTCCTTTTGTTCACTACACTTCCCTCGTGCTATTTGACATGTCATATTTCTACGCGACTCTCCATCTTCATTAACGTAGCATAAACGTTCTCAGGTTTAACTGTTCTTTTAAGCCTTCATTTCCTTATGGAGACTTCATGCTGTGCAAAACATTGAATACATCTGTGTGCTTTTCTCTTGTCGGTCTGTCTTTGTCAGCTTAACTTTCAGACCTAACCAGAAACCCTAAGAGGGCCAAGGAAACTTTTTCTCTTCCTATCGGTGAATCTTTGAGTTGGGGCACCTTTGGAATTTTTGAAGATGCAAATGCTTCTGGCGAAGGAAGAAAGCAAATAAATAGAAAAAGAATGCCTACTTCAAACACCTTTCTCTGGAACTAGCTCTTCTTCGACTTGCCTTGTTTCATTGACGGACTGAGAATGTACAATGAGTTTATGTGCTCATAGTTGAGCAGAATTCTCAGAAGAGCTGCTTTATCTGACTTATTCTTGCATTCCTGCTCTTAAAACGTATCAGGTTATTTAATGATAGTGTTTCTTTAACGTCTGCTCCATCATCCCCTTTGGCCTAGGCTTTTGGTGTATAAGTTAAACTAGTTTGCTGTTTAAGTAGGAGAAGAGATTAGAAAATTTTCCTTGTGGCCTTCCAGACTCCGTAAATAGGACTGATTGTAACTCACAACACTTAGTGCTCATCATGGACCAGGGACTCTCCTAAGGTCTCTGATTCCCGTGGCAACTCTAGAAGATACGTGTCCATACAGTCCCCCAGAGAGGAAACAGAGGCAAGGGGAGTTCAGTCGCTTGCCCCAGGTCACACAGCAAGGACAGGGCAGTGGACAGATTGGAATCCAAGCATTCTGGCTCCAGGAACTTTGCCCAGTATCCACACAGCCTTGTCAAAAGAGAGAGGAAGGAAGCGAAATATTCTTTCCTGGACCTGATGTCTTATTCAAACTGGACTGGATATTCTTCCTGGACACATCTTACTTCTCAGCTCCGTATCTTTACTCACACTTTTCTCTGTTCAAAATGCCTTTGAGACTGGATTTCCTTCTGTTCTGCTAACCACTCACCTCCCAACTCAAGTAACATCCCATTCAAGAGCTTTTCTAAGCCTCTTAGTAGGGATTAATCTCTCTTCTGGACTTCTGAGGAGTTTTACGTTTTCCTCTTCAGTAGGACTGATTATTCTCTACTTTTTATTTATTTGATCTTCCCCATTAAATTGTAAATTACTTGAAAAAACAGAGCCATTTATTTTCACATCCCTTTATGTTCCTGACATAGACTGTGCCCATGGTGGATGGTTACAGATTTCTTAATATTACCAATGGACATTTCTAAATTGTGCATACTTTGCTTTAGGAAAAATTGAAGCCACGGGCAATGGTGGACACACACTTCGTGTGTCTAGATGTGATTGCTTCCTGTGAAATTGTCTCATTAGGTCAGTGATGTGATTCTTAGGACGACGTCCATGGATCCAGTTACAGGCCTATTTATTGGCAGCAAATAGATTTCAGAGATGGCCAGGGGCAGAGCTTCCCCAGTCTTCCAAAGTTTCCGACAGGGAAGGGCTCTCACACAGCATGGAAGAGGTGGTAGAGGAGGCTGGTAGGAGGACTGCTCAGTTGCTCTCTCGTTCTGTTCTGTGGGGTGCTGCCAGTTAAAGCAAGGAAACACATGTTAGCCAAATGATGAAACAGGAGGACGGAGGAGCCCTAGCTCTGCTCAGTTGTTTGCTTCTTTTCATTCAAGCCGTGTCTTTCACCTGAATATTCTTTTTTATTTGCATTCCCTTTTTGGTTCTACTCTCCTTCCCGTTCCTTATAAAAATTTGATTTTCACTCTAATTAACTTTCCTCCACATCCCCAGTGTTTATTCAGAGGTCTGCTGCTCTTAGGACTATTTCATCTTTCCAACATCCCGGGGATGTTTTCCCTCTTTGGTTTTTCTCCTGCTTCAGTTAGTCTTCTGCCGCTCCCATTTCAATTTTTTTTTTTTTAAATTGTAGCCTGAGTCAATAATGGAAACACTTTCTTCTCTGCAGCTTTCGTGCTTCCCTCAGAAAAACATCTCTCAGTTTGAATATGAATAGGGTCTGCAAAGAAAACCCTGTAACTGCAAAACATGCAGGAAATTAATAGGGGAAAGCTATCAGTTGGTGATCAGGAAGGTGAGTAAATAAGATATCATTCTGCAAAACCTTCCATAATCTTAGAGCAGGTGCCTATTTTGTGACAAGTGACACTGAATGAAGTAGAGAGGGTACTTAACTCTTAAGATATTGCCCTATCTTCTAAACTATCAAAAATAATGATAGCCAATATTGTCTATGGGAAAGACGTGATTTTGTTGCACAATGAAATATATTTTTGTCAAGGGCTCTAAGCCTTCTGTGGTTTTAAAATGTATTGGTGCTTTGGGGAAATTTTGTTTTGAATGGTCAGCCTAAAAAAAGAATTCATTTGACCGGTCTCTTTAATCAGGTCACTTTTCTATCATGACCGAAGTGCATACGTTTCACCTTACAGCGAGCATACTTCAATTGCCGCTCTGGTAGACTCCTTATGACTTGGTTTCATACGTGAAATTGGCTACAGGACAGTTGAAAACACCTGCCTAAGATGAATCAATCACAAATAATAAAAGGCTGACGTCATGACTGGCCTTTAATTATGTTTCATCTCAGAATTCATGATACAAAGCTATTTAGGAAGAGCCGTGGATTCATGTTTCAGACTCAGGCTTTTACTGGCTGTTTTTTCACTGCCTTCATGATCATCTGTGCAGGGTACTCAGGGGCACGTGGAAGTCTTGCCAAACGTGATCAGTGAGACTGGAGAAGGAAGGAAACTCCTTCATTCTTGCCAAATACTGTAGAGGAGTGAGCAAATGTAACATCCTTACACACTTGGTATTGCTGGCGGTGTTTCTTTAAAAACTACACCGTTTTGTAAGCTGAGACCAAGAGATGGCGTTCTTGTTTCAGTGTATACACTAGAAATGTATTCTAGAAATATTCATATTCTGGACCCTTGACCAGAATGGGTGTAATTCTAACTGATAGGAACAAAATAGTGACTGAAGAATAGAGACCATTTAGCATAGTGAGATGGATGTTTCCAGTTGGGTATAAGGTTGACAGGACTGAAAGTACTATCTTTAGAGCAGCCAGTGATGCCAATGACTGGAGTAGGCCTGGCATGAAAGAAGGTTACAAACCAAACTTGGGTCCACTTGCCCACGTGCGATAAAGCCAATCCACTGACGCGGGGCTATGGTGAAGGAAGCAGCAGTGTTTATTGCAGGATGCCAAACGAGGAGTTCAGGTAGCTGGTGCTCCAAAGGCCGCCCCAACTCTCTGAGTGGTTTCAGCCAAGCCTTTTTAAAGGTCAGGTGAGGGAGCGGTGTCCCAGGGTATGTGATCAGCCTGTGCTCAGTTCTCATTGGTTGGTGGTGAGGTAACCAGTGGTGTCACAGGTGTTAATGTTATCAGTCTTTAGGCTCCAGTAGACCTGGAGGCTACGTGCTCATGATCATCAGGTAGTTAATTTCTTCCATTTGGTGGTGATTTTAGCATCTCTGAAGCAATTCAGGAAATGTACATCAGATACTATTATCTGGGTACTTCAGAGAGGAGCGAAAGCAGAGGATATGATGGAGAGGTCTGTCCCGGGAAGGCCCCAAATGGTCCTGCTCAGTTGCAATAAGGAAAAGGAGCCCAAATGAGGCTGGTGAGCAGTGGCTGTGTGGGGCTTTCTGCCTTTGGGTGTCTGGCTGATTTTCTTAGAGAGCAAGAGGCAGGTATGTAACAGACACTGAGTTCAGAATCAGATTTCCATAAGGCTGGCTGGAACCTTTATTGGGTCCAGGAATCAACAGAACTCCTTGGAAGTGAGAGACTTGGACATGTTTGATACCATTTGAACTGAAGTCAGAGGTCACTTAGTGGGAGAAAACTCTAATGAATAAAAAACACTCACGAGGTGCTTTAAGTATTTCTTACTTATTTTTAAAACTTGTCCACTTTCAGGATTTAACTTCATTGTGAATGCTACAGAATTTGGAGAACCTCATCATCCAGAAATTTAAAATATTTTCTTTCTAGTATTTAAATTTTTTTCCTGAGCATATGTGTGTAAGTGGGTATTTTACGTATTTTATCAGTTCCTGTTTAAATCCTACCACACATAGACATGTAAATTGATTTTTGACTTTTAATTATTAAAATATGCTGGCATGAGGAACTTTCTGCATAAAGCTTTGTGTTTAAAATAATTTCTTTAGGCAGGATAGCTATAAACAGAATCACTGGTTGAAAGGTTGTAAGCAGTTTCAGGCTCTTGATGACTACTGCTGTGTTTTCTTTCCCTGAGACAGTAAATTGACACTTCGGTCTGCCAAAGAGAGTTGCCCATGTCACCGTATCCTTAGTAGCGCTGCGCATTATCTTCTTCTTTTAATCTGTGCTAATTTGGTTATTCTTTATTTTTATTTGCATGTTTTTTCCCTTAACGGAGGCTCTGGGGATTGAACCCAGGACCTTGTGCGCTCCAAGCATGCACTCTACCATTGAGCTATACCCCCTCACTCTAGTTATTATTCTTTTAATTTGTATTTTATGTTCTTAGACTGAGCATTTTTATATATGCTTATTGTCCACTTATATTTCTTTTTTTGAAAAGTTATACTCCTTGTGGAAATGTGGGGAAAAGATGTCGTGGTACATTTCATCTGTTCATGAATAGTTCTTAGGTTTTATTTTAAAGAATAGGAAGACTGGTTCTGAAAGGATTCTGCAGATCTTTGTATAATGAGGATTTTAGCTTTTATTCTGATTGATTTTTGCCTTACCTCTCACGACAATTAAAACTTATCTCCAGGATGATCAAAAGCCTGTGTTAAATGCCTGCCTTCACACAGTGCTGTTTTAGGGTCAAAATAAAAGCAGTTTATCCAGGCATTTGTCCTGCCAACTCCCAAGAGTGGCCCTTGTTGAAATAACAGCTGGTGAATTACTGCATTCATTTTGGAAACTATTATTCTGTGCCCAGTATCTAGGGATATTAATGAGTACTTTGGTCACCTTGGGATGTGAGTGACTTTAAATACATCCCTGTTTCCCCCCTACTTTTCAGCTTTGCCACACAACATTGTTTGTACCTTGATAGGCAGGTGCGAACTGAAAACCATTGCTAGGCATCCACAATTCTGTGTCAGTCACCCTCCCACCTAAAGATATGTTATTCACCACCTGGAATGAATCAGGAATAGGAGCCTTAAGAAAAGAATTCTTTATTTTAACTTTGACGACACATCCCACTTAGGCATTCCTCAGTGCCCACTGGGATGAATACCTCTCTGGATTATGAGAACATTACTAGGTTCTGGCCCCTTGACTTTGGGCTGCAAACTTCTTCAACCTTGAACTGAAAACTTCCTCTGGGTTTTTGGCTCAGTGACTGTCTTTCCAAAGCCATCCAAGCAGTGCCGCCACATGGGAGCTATTTTAAGGTCTCTCTTGGAGCCCGAGATGAATTTCTGTACTCTAAGCTGACACTCGCAAAGCCTCCGTGTTTGTGGCCAGACAGGTCACCCTGCACCTGGGATCCTGTATTATCAAGGCAGCAAACAGAGATGCTGACCACCCAGGGCAGAGACCCACTGAGCCAGGCTGCAGCGTGCCCTGACCCTTGTGACTGAGGTGACTTCAGCCACATCCTTTAGCTTCACTTTCCTTGTCTGCAAAATAAGGGAGCAGGAGCAGATGGTCACAAAGATTTCCCCCATCTGTACAGATGAAGGAATCTGACTCCCAGCCTTTGGAAACTTGATTTTTTTTTAAACTTCGAATCCTTTTACCCCAGAACATTAATCAATTATTTAAAGGAATATTTTAGACTTTCCCTACCATCAGTCAGGAAGCATCAGTCAGGAATTTCCTTGTTTTTTTTTTTTTTCTCCCCAAACAGGGGCCAATAAAAGGTTCTTTCAAATATAGAAAAAAATGAAAGAAGCTCAGCAATTGTATGGTAAAGTCATAGTTTTCAGCTTTGGACTGTGAGGCTATGAGTCAAGATGGCAGGGGAGCCAGAACAGTAGGCACAGTCAGAGAAAGTCAAGGTGTGAAGGGACCACAGCTCTCATAGAGAAGGTGTTGGAGGGCGTCATCAAGAGAATGTGACTGCGGGTTGACCCTTGTGCTCGGCCCGGGTAGTCAGACTTCTTACCCCTACCCTGTCCTTGAAATGTACCTTCTGCCCATCAGTCCCATACAAGGGACCCTACCTTGGGACTTGTTGAGATTTGTTGAGATCATTTGGACTGAATATATGACTGAATCCACTTAAGGCCTCTATATAAACTTTTAAGATTCTGCTGAGTAGGTGCAGAGATCTACCCATCTGTGGTCACACAAAACAAGCCTCGTAGGTAAGTTCCTTTGCTTATTAAATCTACCACCTACCAATCTGGAGTGGTCTGCCTCTTTCTTCGATCTCTCCTTCCCTTCCATGGATGAGGACCAGTTTACAAACCAATGGCAGTTCTATAGAAACTCTTTGTCTCATTAAGACAAGGCAGTTTTGTATTAGGACAAGATGTTTGGTGGACATACAGGACTGGAAGGTTTCCTCCACAAAGCTATGGAGAAAGTAGTCACAGGAATATAGATGACACCTTGGAGACTGGAATAGCACTGGGAAATCAAGCCAGTGCCCTGGTAACAGGACTCTAGGGTTTATTCTGAAGAATGTAATGATTTGAAACATTTAGGTGTTTAACAAATTTGTAACTAGTTTATCTAAGATGTGGCTTGGTTTCATTTATGAACTGCCAATGAAGGAGTCCTACTTAAATATAGTTGGAGCTGAGAAATGTAAACATAGGTGGAACCAACCATATGTCTGGGTAGTAGACTGCGTTCCAATAGTGACCAACGGACAGTAGGCATCTCGGGCACTAATGTTATCCAAACCAGGGACCCTGCTTAAACTGGCATCTGCAAAGATGGTCCCATGAATTCATCTGTATGCACACTTAGTAGGTTTATCTTGTCAAGGCATTATTTGGAGAGTTGGTCCACTATGAAGAGGAATCCAATGTGTAAAATATCTGATGGATAAGCAAGTATTTCTATCTGTACTTTTTATGTATCTGTTGCAAAGACAGTGAACTAGCATGGACTGTATTCTTTGCATTAAAATCAACCCTGAGGAGTCTATAGATGCAAGAAATGGAGAATTCAGGACCTAAGAAAATAACACGAGAAAACTTCAGGGAGGCTAACATCTGTGCTGAGCTGGTACATGTGGAGAGAGCTTCTGAGGATGGATGGCTGCAGAGGGCAGGGGGAGCGTGGGCAAGGGGAAACTTGTTAAATGCTACTTTGCCTTTCCCCTGCATTTCCTTGAGACCAAGGGTACGTCTTCATGGAAGGCGGTGGCTGCAACCCAGACATGGATGCCCTGTGTCCCCAGTGTAGTATACAGGCAAGTACATGCTCTGCTCATTGAGAAATTGATGAGAGCAGATGCTGGGAGCTGAAATTGTCGAAAGACTCATTCACTCCCACGTGTGATGGTTGATGCTGGCTGTCAGCTGTTCCCTTAGCTGAGATTGTTGACTGGAACAGCATCATGTAGCCTGAGCTTCCTCATAATATGGTGACTGGGTTTCAAGAGAGAGATCCAGACAGACAGTATATTACCTCTTATGGAAGTGAGATATTCTCCATTCTATTGGCCGAGATGGTCGCAAAGTTCTGCCCAGATTCAACACTTTGGGTGAGTCCACATCTTGATGCAAGAGTGACAAGATTCTAGAAGAGGGTGTAGGACTGGAACTATTGTTGCAGACATTTTGAGAAAGTCAACTTACCACATAAAATTACTTCTAAATAAGGACCAGAAACTGGACAGTAATGTCATCTCTATCGGGTGTTAGGACCAATAGAAGAATTGAAATTCGGGGCAGTAGCCCACCAGAAGGCTACTGCAGACAAGGAATTCAGACATCTCTTGGGAGAGAACTCATTTTAAGGAGAGAACAGAAAGCCAGGCAGACAAACTTCTCAGGAATAGACCACTCCCCACAGTAATTAGCAACTGAGTTTTGAACTCAGTTTCATGGATTGTTTTTTCAAGGATGACTCAGGGAAAAAGCATTTAGAAAATGAAGTAAGTTTACTTGTTAAGACTGCAGGAAAGACCAGGCTTTAAAAGGACTGCCTCACAAACATAAAAATGTTTATAAAACATAAAAAAGTATTTAAAAAAAATTCCCCCCCCCAGATTACCAAGGTGACCATGTTTATCAGTCAGTGCTTGTCAATATGCTGTGTTACAGACTACAAACACCAAGGCTTAACAAGCATATAAGCTGGTCAGTTGGGACTAGTTAGTTCTGGTTTGGATTTGGCCAGTGGGTCCAAGTTTCAATATGGGCTCAAGTCTGCTCCAAGTGTCTCCCCTCCTATCTGCCTTGGTCCAGGGGGCTAGCCAGGGCATATTCTTCTCAGGTGATGACAAACTCAGGGGTGAGCAGGTAAGTGTGATGTCTCTCAAGGATTGGGGTCTTAATTGACAAACTGTTACTTTAAACTCATTGGTCAAAACAAGCTATGTGGCTGTCCCCAATATCAATAGTGTGGGAAAATACACTCACTGTTAGTGGGTGAAACTGCAAAGCCACATGTCAAAAGCAAGGACAGAGGGAGGAATGAAAAACCGAAAACAGCAGTGTTCTACCAAAATGACTGTTGATGGTGGAAAACAATTTTTCTCTCTTGATTTCATACCCACAAACATTGTGGTGCAGGCACCCACACACCCCTACACACAATTTCCAGACCTCAGTATTGCAAAAGTAAGAAAGAATATGGTTTTTGTTAGTGAGTCAGCATCTTATGGGAAAGACTCAAAGTTTCACTTACTTTGGAGTCCAGAACTAGGAAAGGAAACCATTTTTAAATGTTCTCTTGTTGGTTTAATTTGGAAATGATTATTAGTTTTTCCTGACTGCAAGATGCGATGGCTATGCTTCTGTATAAAGGTCCCAGGTATCCTCTGTTCCACACAAAGAATGCCTGTCTAAGTCTAATATGAAGGTTAGTGGTAGGAAACGTGAGTCTGGAAAACTTGGCTGGAATCAGCTTGTGAATTGTACATGTATCAGCCTGAGGAGGTTGACTTGACCCCATGAGAAGTCATCAGAAAGCTTTGACTACATCACATCTGAATATATCTGGTTTAACTTTTAGAAACCCGAGTCTCATGACAACTGAAGAAAGACCAAATCTAGCTTGGTGCCAGGTGGACAGTGATTGTTCTAAAAGAGAAATACATGAATGGTAGAGCAGAGAGTGGAGAGATTAAGCCCACCTGGGAGATTTTGGGGAGACCGCTAAATAAGACAGGAGTCAAGGGACTTTGATAAACAAGTGATGGAAGAGGGAAGGCAAGCGAGGAAGAAGGTAGACCATTCATTTATTCAGCACATATTTATTGAGTGCCACTAGGTTTTGGGCACTGTGTTAGTATCGGGATGTAATTTTGGACAAAACCAAAACTATTTTCTACCATTAAAGA